GCACTTGAGTGCTTTTACAAAGTCTATGCCATGGCGAGAAAAGAAGTGAGGACTGGAGTGTTCAAAGCGCAGACTATGTTCAGCACCAGCTTAAAACTCCTATTAGGTTGGAGGCCATTGCTATTAGTTAGGCGAGAAAAAAGTGAGGACTGGGGTGAGGACAGACTATGTTCAGCTGGTGAGCTTAATTCGTTCGTTTTACAATCCTTTATGGTCAAGACCTGAAGCCGCACCTGCACTTTTCCAGTCAATGTAGATGCTTAATATTTTGCGTGCCCACACTACATCCACAGAAACAGTACTCTTTGAGAACTGGCCGTAATGCTCCAGAATCTCCAGAATGGCCTTAGATCTGAGAACGAAAGCATGAACAAGCCACCAAGAATTCTCTTCACAAAAATGGGGACACTGACCATTGCTGACCTATGTCAATCCACCCTCCGCACTTTGTGCTCAGAGCATACAACATGCCCTCAAGTCCACAGGTTGCTTGTCGTTTTGAGCCGCCAGAAGTAAGGCACTTGTTTCTAATAGCTTCTTGTTACTTGCCTGTGGAAACTTGATCCTTGACCCCTTCCACCCCTTCCAACATGCCAATGGCTCGTGAAGGACTTCGGAGGCTTTCCGGTTTGCAAAGTTGGGTTTGGCACCTTGGAACATCGGGGCGCGCCTGCTGTGGAGGTGAAAATCGCTGATGAAAAACCAAGTGAACGCTTTGTTTCTAGTAGCTTCTTGTTACTAATAGTACGGCCAGGAGCCCCTAGTAGCGTCCTTTGCTCCTAGTAGTAAGGCCCTTGTTCCTAGTAGCATCCTTGTTCCTAGTAGTAATATTGGACAATAATATGGATGATTAGAGCTAATAACGATGGCCTCCGCCCTAATAGTGGCCTCCAACCTAGTAGCGATGGCCTCCAACCTAATAGCGACACTGTATGATGGGGGGCTAAAAGGAAAGCGACCCGTAAGAAACCTAGGGGCAGTCAGTGACTCACGGCCACCTTGTGAGTCGAGTTTGTGATCATGACATACATAGCCGGTCGGCCCAAAACAAGATATTTTCCAGAGATTCAAGAGACTGTAGAGAATCTCTACAGTGTCTGAGAAGGCACTGCAGGTTTTTACAGGATTCTGTTTTCACTTTGCCATTTGTTAACGTCAAGCATGGAGCCTTTGCCTGTTGTCCGAGGCCCTGTTGGGTGACATTCAGGCTGACAGAGAAAGCCATCGCTCACGGCGAGCAACGCAACCAACACACTCAGCGCCACTAGATCCCTCGTTCATGACAAAGACATCCTCAGCGCCTTCACCGCCTTCAGCATCTTCAGATTCTCAACATTTACTTGCACCACCTGGTCGTGGTCCCTTGGCATTGAGATATGCCAAATTTTGGACATGCTTCTAAATGTTTCATGTGCTTTCTATTGGCTAGATTGAATAATGTTTACTTATTCAGTATCATGTGTTGCAAGTTGGACCATGTTCTGTCAGCAGCACCCATTAAGATCAGCGACCTTCAAGCGCATCGACGCCACGCTCGGATCCTCCCGAGACAGAGACCTTGTCCCTGAAGCTTGGATTTATACTAGTAGCTTCTTGTTCCTAGTAGTAAGGTCAGGAGCCCCTAGTAGCGTCCTTGCTCCTAGTAGCGATGCCCTTTGTTCCTAGTAGCTTCTTGTTCCTAGTAGTAGTAAGGCCAGGACTTACTAGTAGCGTCCTTGCTCCTAGTAGCAATGCCAGGACCTACTAGTAGCTTCTTGATTCAACTTATTTTTTCTTTTTAGGCCGGGTGGGGGGTGTAGGCCGATATAGGCTACTAGTTAGAGTGTATCGAGTAGGACGCTACCCCAGTTTGAGCTTTGCAGTGATATTGATTTCTTGGTTTGCACGCGGCAACACGGGTGTTTTCACACTTGTTGTTTTTGTTCCTGGTGTAAATACAGTAGATGATACAGCAAGAGTTCAATCAATTGTGCTAAATTGGGCTTTCAGGACTTAGGGAGCTTCACTTGCTGAGGAATGCCTTCGAACCAAGCAGTACGGATTTGGCTGATGCACTGCCACCTGAGCGACAAAGGTCATCGTCTTCAGCTGGCAGTACCTGGGACATGACTATGAGCTTTTGTCATAGTTTTTCACTCACTGAGTCATCAGGAGTTTGCCTTAACTAAGTTACTACTACCATCTACCCCTTCCTACCAGAGATAACAATGTTCAACACAGATTTCAACTTTGAGGCGTTTGGCAGCTTATCCAAGGGATCCAGGAGAAGCAAACAGAACCGAAGTGGTCTCACTGATGTTCGGATGTCTCCTTGCGCATCCGAAGGAGATACCTACTGCAGCCATGCGGCGTTTCCGCAAGTCTGGGGGGCCCAGAGTGATGAGACAAATCAATACAAGCTACGGATATATATATATAGAGCATGTTATTTTGGGGGTAGGCCGCTAGAAAGGGTAGTAGCTAGAGGTAGGTGGCTAGTAGTAGCTAGGTAGCTAGTAGCTTAAGTAGCAAGTAGCTACTAGCATGGACGCAGGATAGCTCATGCCTCTTCAAGGAAGCTCCACGCGCCTGAGGGCGGAGGGGGAGCTTCCAAATCATTTGGCTATATTTGGCTCCTAAATTTTAAGGAAACTTAACTTACAAGAGAGGTCAAAGCGAGGCAAAATACTATTTAAAGATCTTCCATTCTCTTGGCACGGTGGTTTCGGCACATGGCGCAAGCTGTGCGCCTCCCAAAGCATCCAGCAAGGATATCGGGTAGCTCTTCCTTCAGCGCGGTGCGGCAGATTTGCAATGTGGCTGGCGACCTCCCCAGGGCGGGACTCTAAGAGCCCCAGAGTGGTTTGGATTTGGATAAAAGATGTGCAATTTGGCCATCCAATTGTTCCTAGTAGCTTCTTGTTCCTAGTAGTGAGGCCAGGAGCCCCTAGTAGCGTCCTTGCTCCTAGTAGCGATGCCCTTTGTTCCTAGTAGCGAACATTGTTCCTAGTAGCCTCAATTTACCTCACCTTCTCAGACTGCCTTTGAACAGGTCATTGGAATGACACCAGACAACTCGGTGTCGGTGTGCAACCTAGTCTCGAGCTTTCCACAGCATTCTGCACAAATTCACCGTTCGCGATTCAGCAGATGAGGAATGGTACTTGACATCTCATGTGAGTGCTGATGTAGCCCTGCTTAGCCAACCGGCTCGTTCTATTTTTTTTTTTTCGAGGCCGGTGAATTCACCTCCATAGCAGAAGATGAAGGTCAACAACCTATCCGGTCTGATACACTGCAGTTATCGGCTGTGCCTCGACAGCAGTTATCGGTTGGTTCATTGATTGGTCTTGAGATGCCTAGGGCCATGCCCCAACCTAGCAGCGTCCTTGCTCCTAGTAGCGATGCCCTTGGTTCCTAGTAGCTTCTTGTTCCTAGTATATAGTAAGGCCAGGAGCCCCTAGTAGCGTCCGATCGCTCCCTTCTTGATGCTTGGTTCTTCCAGCATCCAGGATCCCTGCAGGTTGAAGTGAGATTTAGGTATGATTTCGGCCAAGCACAGGTGTTCCCTTTCTCGGATTGATTTGAATTGCAAGCAACTTCCACTTCATGTTTCATTATGTTGTGAGTTTTAATTGAGTTTAAATATACCATGCATTTGATCAATAGTGTTATGGTTTGGCTACACAATTTTTGAAAGACTGTCACTGCTGAGGCAGATCCAGGCCCAGCTTCATCAGCCCCACAATCACCAGCTGCAGCACCTGCACCGCCTCCATCAGTGGGACAACCGGTGCCAAGTGAAATGCAAGCAGAAACGGTTGAACCAAATGAGTTTCAGGGTTGCACCGATTGAATCCTTTTGACACATATCAAAATAACGTGATTTGTGGTTCATGCGGCAATGTTTTGCATTTCCCACATTTCGTTTGTTGCTGGCGAATTCTCCCAGGTGCCAAAACACCGTCAGAAATTGAGTTTTAAGCTGACAATGCCGCGATTAGTGTCACCAGGGGATGCTCGGCTTGAACAGAATCCCCATTTCGCTTCCGATTCACTTGGTCTCTTCCAAACCCCAATGAGACTCGGCAAAAAGTTTACCCGAGTACACGGGCTTTCCGCGTTTTTTTCTCAACCTGGCTGTTAGTGGCACTGCTAGTGGCTGCGCTATGGTCTGCTGGTCGAGGCCTTTAGACGTACCACGAGCGGGCCTCCGACCATCCTTCGAGAGAAACTGTCTGAGTCAGTTGAATAATTCCGTTCCGCTGATTTGTTGGAGGCAAAGATTTGTTGGAGATTTGTACTTCTTTGGATTTGTGAGCAGATTTGCATTACTGCTTGAGACCAAGGGCATGAATTCCAACAACAAATAGTCTATCTTCAATCATGTTCAAGCTACTGGTATTATGCCTTGATAGTCTATATCACAAGAGGAGTCGCACGTCTTGCCTTTGAGAAATCACCTTTTTGAATGCTGTTTTCATCTCCTGTTGGCAAAGGGCCGTGGAGATTCGGCAAATGGCTGGCATGTTACCACTTGAACGACATCGATCACACCAAATGAGTTAGCTGTGACAGTTTACCACGAATAGACAACAGTTGAAGCAGAAGTGTTAAACTATTGCACCTGAGAATGCGTTGGTTGTATACTAAACCTCTCTCCAAAGGAAGTGAAAAACGACGGCTGTATGCGGGTCGTTCTTTTGGTTTGAATTCCGCACAGTTGATTCACTCAGTGCTGGCGACCGAGCATTGCATGCATCCCTTTTAATGTGGACGCAACAAGCTGGCGTTGGGCCGCTCCTGTACTTTGCGGATATCGCCACGCAAGTTGCGCTAAGAAGCCACACCTTCAAAAAGATGCTTTCTTTGAAGCATAGATTTTTGCCTTCAAGGTTGTACAGACAGCGCCAAGCGAGAGCTTTCTGCAAAATCAGTGGCTGTGTTGTCGCTCTGTTGAGGGAAGACATAGAGCGAGAGCGCTGAACTGCAACACTTCTCTCGACACGAAGCGTCGCTAGGACAGGCTCACCTTGGGCCATGCTGTGACTCTTCGGCTGAGCCTTCCCACCGGAAAGTCCCTCGAACGCCAGGCGAAAACTTGAAAGACCAAACGCGCTGTTTGTGGTGAATGAGTCTGAAAGGAACTCACGTTCCTCCTGGTTTACAGTGGAGTGCAGCGTAGATCATCATGAACATGGTTTCCTGCAGTAAGCTATTTTTCAACCAAAGGGATGACCAGAAGCATGCTGGCATGGTTGAAGGACGTTTTTTCGACACGATGGAGTAAAGACGAGAGAGCTTCGCCCATCAGTTGAGTCAGGGCACCGTGGCCAAGATGGAAGAAGACTTGTTCGACATTCTGCAGGCGATATGGTGTAAAGCTCCGTTCGTAGCGTCCTTGTTCCTAGTAGTAAGGCCAGGAGCTACTAGTAGCGTCCTTGCTCCAAGTAGCGATGCCCTTTATTCTTAGTAGCTCCACACGAGATTTACACCATGCTTTACACCATATCTCAAACAGCAAAATCAATTTGAAACATCATCATTACTATGTTGGATTAGACCTGTAGATTTTCATTTGTTTTTGTCTTACCAATTCTAAGCATCCTTTACACACCTTGTGTGTTCGAGACACCTGCATAGCTCAGCTCTTGTTTCATCTGTCCAGGATGAGGAGAGCTTCAGTGATGCTCGGGGCCTGATGCAGTCCATGCTGGACATCATCGGGAAAGACCACACCGCGGCACTGCTGAAGCTTGGCCCACCGAGATGTTGCCATATCGAGCTATTCTGCGACGTTTGGGGCTTGGGGGGTTGGTGGGCTTATTGATGTGCTCTGTGACGGCTACGATTTTTGGTCTTTCTGTATACATGTGTGGTCTTCACAGTCGTGGAAACACTTTCCTTTCACAGTTCTGGAAGTTTCCGAAGACTACCTTTTAGGTACCGAATAGAACCGTGACCTTCAGACTGACTCCACTGCTACAAGCAGCTGCAAGCTGTGCTGTTGGTACAAAAATCCAATCATATGCTTTTTCCCTTGACGAGCGGATCTTCGACATGTTCTCGATAGGTTGAGGGATTGGGAGGACTTCTCAATCAACGCTTCTTCCAATAGGCATTATTAAGTCAGCGACTACCCCATGCTGCATGCTAATATCCTCACCTTGAAGTCTTCAATATCCTCATATCGCACTACCCCTTGCTGGTTAGATCAAACAGCTTCTCTTTATAGAGAACACTTTTATGCAGACACTACAAACAGAACAACTCCCATAATATGAGTTGCTTGCCTCTGTATCGTGAGTGACCATCGCGTCTTTGAAGAACAATTAGGAAGACCTGTGGTGAAGTGCTTCCGTTGGTGGAGGACCTGCTGCTTGTACAACTTGTACTGCACTGCAGCCACTGCTTTCAGAGTGTTTTAGAAAGCCTGTGGTGAAACCTGCTACTAGGAACAAGAAGCTACTAGGGGCTCCTGGCCCTACTACTAGGAGCAAGGACGCTACTAGGGGCTCCTTCCTTTAGCAACCTTCTCTTTCAGGAGGGAAATCTGATCACCTCAGAGGTTCGTCCTGAAGATGATCTTCAGTTCCGTATGGTTGAACCCCCAGGTTGTCTTATAGCCGCGCAATGTGATCAAGCTGTCTACAGTGCCGTCCGTTTGCATGCCATCAAGCTGACGTATGCTTTTGACACTAGGAAGTTGGGCTGGAGCTGGTCTATTCGTCTCAAGCCGAGCCAGAGGTTCTGATTGGTAACCTGGCAGAATGGGGCGAAAGCCTGCAGGTCTTGGTTCAGATATGCTTGGTTAAGAGGACGCTACTAGGAGCAAAGGGCATCGCTACTGGGAGCAAGGACGCTACTAGGGGCTCCTGGCCATACTACTAGGAGCAAGGACGCTACAGGTGTTGGTTAAGACTGTTGGAGCTGCCAAGCTCAGCTTCCAGGCTTGTACAAGAAAGATGACTGGAAAGACGAGAAGGTGCGTCCAGAAGACCGCTCACCCCGGTACACTAGCGATGCACCTGTTTCTACTAGCTTCTTG